CCTGTGAACTGTTTGCAGGAGCATCTGTCAGTTACTGTGTGTGTGCAGCCTGTACTGTAGTGGGACTCAGGCTAATTTAAAACCTTAAGCCCTATGTGTCTTTACCAGGATATTTTTTCAAAGGTACCAATCAGTATTGTGGCTTTTCTGAATACTGAACTGTGACAAGAAATCTCACGTACAAAATGAGAGTCCAGGTGGTGGCGAATGACGCTGGTGCTAAATGCCACCAAGAGATAGTGCTGTTCACTCTTGGCTTTCTACAAACTGGTCATGACAGAAAATAAAAAAGAAAATCCCATGTCATCATCAAGAGATTTGCTGAGGAGCATGTGAAGATTTATCTTGGCCTTCTCTTGACTTTGTAGAGTTTAAGTGGAATTTTTGATGTAGGATATTGTAATCAGCTAGGAGCTGCAAAAACCAGTATTCTTCATATGGGGTCTGCAGTACTTGCTCCCCATTCTTGTTCTTTATCCTCAGGATTCTTTTGGTTTTGCATACTATGGGGCCTTTCTGTGGGAGGAGAGAAAGGACATCAGTTAACTTCTGACAGAGTAATTTTTCTTTCTCTTTTTTTTCTTTCTTTTAAAAATTTTTCTCTATTTTTAAAGCTAATGGACCATCTGATCATTCATTCTTTTGCTGGGAATGAATTTTGAAGAAAGGTGTCTAAAGCCTTTAAAGGCATGCTTCTCTTTTTATATGTGTAAAGCTGTTTTTCCGTATATGAAGATTTCAGGGAGTTAATAGTATAAATATTTATAGCATTTAAGACTATCTGAGATATATTGTTCAATTAGATTTCTCTTCAGATTAATTTAGAAATTAATTTATAACAAACTAATTTGACCAAAACCGTCCTAAGTGTTAATAACAAACAGTCTGTCTCCATTAAATGTGTCTGTTGAGGAACTTCTTCTAGTGTGGGTTGTTTTTAAGGCGGTATGTAAGTGTGCTGGTATGAATGGTAGATTCAGCCAGGTATTGTGTTTATCTTGTCCAATTACTAGAAAGTTAAAATACAAACACTCCCTGGCTCTCCCTCCCATTTATAATCTTTGCTTTGAAGGATTGTGCTACCAAGATCTCAAGGCACTTGTTTCATGCTCATTTTTGTGTTCTGATTTTAATATTTATCCAGCTACGCACTGCTCTGCAGGAGAGAACCCTGACCTATGCCTTAAGTCTTTGAACTTCACTGTCTTGGTCAGTATTGGAGAAGATAAAAGCTCTCTTTCTCTGTCTCTCTCCTCCCCCACACCCCCCTTAGCTTGATGATGTATTGAGTAACAGTTGGCAGCTTTGTTAGTTGTTTTGAAAGCTAGAAAAACCCTTTTTGTACCTTAGAGACTAAATGCTGTTTGGGAAATAAGTGATGTTGTATGCTTTGTCAGTTTATTGGCTGCTTTCTCATATGCTCTTTTGGAAAATCCCTGTAGTCCTCATGCATTTCTTCCCACCATTCCCTTCCCCTACTTTCATACTACAGAAGATACCTCCAGTTTTTCTATTGTCATGTTGCTTGAAGAGCTTTTGTCTTTTCACATCCAAATGCTACTCCCAGAGGGCCATCTAGAAATTGTTCACCCTGACTCATGTGAAACTGAGCTAAATCTCTTCTGATCAAAAAAGTTTAAAACTGTTTTTCTGAGAAAATAACGTCTGACACTGTAATTTCCATTTGAAAACAGCTAACATCTGTGGAAAGTGCATAACCAATGCCTGAGGAATTTCTGCGAACTAAAGTCCGTGTCATGTTTGACTTTTTTCATTTCTTCTGCAGAAGAAAAGGAGGGGGGAAGAGAGAAGCCTGTGATACAAGACTGAGCTAATTTTGGTTTCTGCATATGCTGATAGTATCAAGAGGTTGCCTTTCTCCCTTTCTGCCATTTTTCCATTTTTGGGGGACCACTTTACACTTGCAGCACATGTTCCTTTGTCATTGGTTCACTCTGGGTGAGCCAACAGCTTGAATTGAGTGATTAAGTTAAGAATTATTTGATTCAATAGACTAACTTTGTACTGCTCACACATCATTTAATGATACCACTGGCTGTGGGGTTTTCCTCTTAACTACTTTGACTCATTTTATAAATTGAAGTCAATGTTTTAAGGGAGGTGGCAGATGACAGAACAGTTTGCTCTTACAGGAAAGGCTTTTTACAAGAGGAATGCCTGTGTACATGTATCACAAGGTTTATTTCCATCTACTAAATAATCCCAGTAGTCAAGAGTGGGTAGTAATTAGGTACAGTAGCAAAACTGATGTGGCTAATGTTCATCTGTAGCATGTAAATACCATTCCTGGAGTTCTCTTTGCAGCCATCTGAGAGCTTTTATGCCCTTTTATGTTCTGGATTTTCCAAAGCAAATCTGCTGGTATTATCAGAGTTGTTATAAATTATCTAGGGGAACATAAGCTGTTTAGCTGCTGTTCTGATACTATCCAAAGGCCAGACACATCCCACTAGGAATTTGAAGGTTTGAGTACTTTCCTGAGTTGGCTAGGGAAACTTGCATGCACAGGGAAGCGTGTGCACTGCTTTATTGATAAGTGATTTTAGTATGTAATGAGAATGGGATTCATTCTGTTTGGACAAACCATGGTTTCTGTGAATACCAATTGTTTTGCACATCTGCCTTCTCTCTTTTTCATCACATTAAGCTCAGAAAAAGTATTGTAATTCTTTTCTGCCTTTACAGTCTTAAGAGTTTTCTTACCAAGTGATATTATTTTCTTTGTAAGGTTTGATGGTTCATCTTATGCCAGACCCAAAGTAGGAAATGTCCTCTGTTCCTCAATTTTTATTTTATTTTTTAAAGCTCCTGTTTGCAAAAGCATGTTTAATGTCTTTTTATAAAGGTGAGTTCTGAGATATCAGAATATGTTTCCAGTTTCATAGGTATATTGCTATGAGTGAAAGGAGGTTTAGATCTGTTTGAGAATCATTACTGCTCCTGATCTGCAAGTGGAATGAGCAGCTTTGTAGCTACCATTCAGCGATTCTTTTTCTCATAGTAAGCCAGTAAGTAGCTTTTAACTAAAATAAAAAGGGAGAATTTATTTCTAGTCCACTGGAAAGGGTATAGCATGCTCCATGTAATGTGGAAAGGAAGGAAAAGATAGTGTTTGAATGACTCAAACCCCAAAATAAGCTTCATGTTCTCTCTTACTTTTAATTATAAGATAAAAATTGAAAATCAGTGCAGTGGCAAGTAGGCATATGTTAATGTTTTGTCCATATGTCTACAACTGGTATTTCTCATCACTGAGTACTTTTCATGCTCTTTCATTGGTGTAGCAGATACAGAGCTTATTTAAAAACAAACAAAGAAAAGACAGCTTGTATGTTTTTTTAAATCATAGACTGGTTTGGGTTGGAAGGGACCTTAAAGATCATCTAGTTCCATATTAACTGATGCAAATTTAGTAACATGTTTTTATTATTATTTTTTTAAAAATACAATTTGGCATCTATGAAGTGTTCCAAATTTCTCATTTTCTTGTTAGGGGATAATCGTATATGCAGTTAATATGTGGATTCTTGTAACCAGGCAATGAGGATTTTATGCTTTCATGTTGTAGTCATCTTATCCACAAGAGCTGATTTTACAGTTGTTTGTATTTTTTTTTTTTTTAATTTAAGAGCAGCTCCGGGTCCTCTGCAAACATCTTTGTGGTGAACTGTTAGCAACTGAAGACAGGTGTCAACACAGTAAAACATACATAGTGCTCAGAGTTCTTGTTCACCTCGTCTGCAGTGGTACCAAGGATTAATGGTTTGGAAGAGGAAGTCTCTTGGACAATATCCTTACTTTTTATGACTGGTGCAAACTGGCAGAATACTGTTATTGAACTAGTAACGTGTTTGTCTTGTGACTAAAAAGGAATTCACAGTTGAGGTTTATCTGGCACTTTGTGCTTAATTCAGGAATGCTCCCAATTTGCTTTACTCTGTCCCCTCAACCTCTCTCACCATAAAATACGGAAACAGTGATTTTGAGGAAAGAGGTTTAGAAATGAGCTCTGAGTTTGGGTGCATGTTTCTGTGTGTTTACTTGTGTTTGGCATAACAGAAACAGAGATGCTGATGTTATTTGATAAATAGTATTATCAACTCCTAAAAAAACCCCCCAAAACCCAACAAAAACCCCACCACAACCAAAAAACCTAAAAGCCTGTATGCAAGAAGAGACTTCCAGAATGTACTATACACCTGGCTATACTCCAGATTGTGTCCATGTCTCTGGACAGTTCCCAGCTTTTACAGACTCTCTGAGCTCTTGAAAACTTGCACTTTTGATACCATATCTATATTCCTTGTTATTTTTTCAAGATGCTGATACACAAGCAGGTTCAAGATGTCCTACACATCTTACTTCATGGAACAGAATCCAGTTTATGTGGAAAAAGTCTGACAAGCTTTTAAATAAGTAGACAGTTCAGAATTAGTTTCCATGTACTCCACATTATGAGACAGTTCCCAGACTACAGGTCTCCCAAATATCATGGTTTTTTTTTTAAGGAAAACTCTGGTAAATTCAGTGCATTGGTATTCAAATTGGACCAAAAAGTGTTTAAGTTGGTGACTTCACTGATGCTGTGAGATGAGTTAGGTACCATTCTTCCTAACATATGGCTTTTCTCATCACATCTGAGCAGCAGCGGTTTTTTATGAAGTCATTGCATAATAAAGGATTAAATAGTGTTACACAGTATGCAAAATGGGTTTCTTCTTGAGCATGTGATATTGTAACTGTCTTGCATTGTGTAATCTAGTGCAGATCCTTTTCATTTAGGGGAAGAGAGGCTTCTGAATTTCCCTAGCTGTTAATATTTTCAATTTATGAGTTGTGCCCCAGAGCAATATTTAGTTTTCATGTTAGGTGGTACATATATATATTTATATATATATATATTCATACCTGATTTGAGATTAGGAGAATGCCCTGAAAGAGAATCTCCAGATCACCCCCACTTACATTTTGTTGATGTCATGGGGATGTCTTGGATAACACAATCTGAACTATTTTCAGATGGAACTGAACTGGAAGGTAAGGTCCACCTGAGCATGTAATGTGCTGTAACCACTAGTGTCTTGTTTGGTCCATGGGACCACGTTAAGACTAGTATTCCTATTCTCATCTCTCTTGAAATACATAAAGCAAGGGCGTTGGGCCTGACGCACTGTCTGGCTGTACAAGACCTTTTCTTTTGGGCTGCGCTGTTTACTAAAGCTAAAAGCAGTTCTTGACACCAAAGAAATCATCCAACAGGCGTTTGAGAGCTACCTACTGGAAATGTGCAGTTGCTGTTCGTTTGCTAAGTGAAACGTAACCCCTTTCCTCTGCAGATAATGTACTTTGTCATTATGTAGACTATAAAGTTTTAGAGGTTTTTTATTACTTACAGTTGTAAAATACTTGCTCTAAGATTGGCATGCAAATAATTTCGTTTTACAGACGGAACATTTGCACTGCAAGTTTTTTATTTAACCCTGGGTTTAGTTTGCATCAAACAAACTGCACGTGCACTGTTATTTTAATCTTCCTATAATACACCTTCCTTTTTTCTGTCCCTGGGTACAGAGGATAATTATGACAACTAAAGGTATGAATACATTACAATTATTTTTAATAATTTTGTTGTGTAATTTAGAATAATACAGTTCTGTTGATCATTAACTGCCTTTTTCAGCTTAAAATTAAGTGTACAGTTTATAGTGGTTTTTTACATGTTTAAATTCTGGGCACAGTAGTGACAAGCAACCACACTTGAAAGTTATTCACAGTATTCCGAACTAGATAAGCCTGCTGATGTTGATTGTGAACTAAAATAACCAAATTAAGCCAAAAAAAGTTTCTGGAAGATGTGTTTTAGGCCAAAATGACTCATAAGGACAGGGGAACAAACATGAATTATTTCCCTCCTGTCTTTGCATACATTCATCAAGCCTCTGCATCCTAGCCAAAGAAATAATTCTCTTATTCCGAGAAAATAAGTATCCTTTAATAAAACTAAGAATCTAGTTGTCTTCCTCCACCTAACTTTGAGACAACTTCGCTGCTCTTTGTAAAAGTTAACAATGTTTTGCTTTTGTTATTTGCTCTAGTTATTTCCAGGGCTTCCTCTGGCTTCATGTCAGGATGTTTGACTGACTGATGGAGGGGAAGGGAGGGGAGAGGGAAATAGGCACAGCTTGAGGCTGCACCTGCTGTCCCTGGGGCGAGACAGTTTCATTACTGAGTTGCATTTAATTCAGTGCCCCAACTGTAGTGAGGAAAAATTAAACTTTGAGTTATAGTCTGATGTTTCTTTCTTTTTTTTGCTGTGAGGAATTTTGCTGACAGCCATGGAGAGAATAAATTTTTCTATGTTAAGTCGAAGCACACAGGCAATAGCCTCGTACGCTTCTTTTTGCATTGCCTTGGTACAAGGGGTGACACCTTTATCCAAAGAGCAGTTTAGTCTCCATCTCCATTCTGTCCTCGGAGCTTATGCTGGGAGGACATCATGAAACAGAGACCAAAAATCCCCAAGAGAACTTGCAGGGTTTGGTAGTAGCTGCTTGCAGTCTGTGGATATACTTACTGGCTGCTGTGCACCCCATGGAGGAGCAATTTGAGGAGTAGCACCGTGTCCAAGCTGGTTAGCCTTCCTGAGAGGCAGGGATTATTTTGTCTAGGGCAGCACCATACAAAGACAACTGTTTCCCTCTCGAAGTCTTGTTCTCCTCCTGGTGCTTCAGTGTGCTTACCAGCCTCCTTGGCAGCCAACTCTTGCAGCTCTGCACTGTGTTCTGTGGACATTTACTGGCTGGAAACTCGTGTAAAAAGCTGACAGTTAGTTACTAGTCATCCCTAAGTTTTGAAGCACAGTCATGTTTGCTGACTTTGAAATAAAATGCTATATCCCGGTCCCAGCTTCTTCACTCACCTGCTCCCTTGCTCTCTCCAAGGACTTTCTGTGTAATTAATTAGTCCGGTGATCAGAGAGGTTGGTTCGGGCTGAACATGGTTAGAAGGCGCTCGGTGGCTGAAAGTTGTCTCGAGGGCGCACCCTAGTGTCCAAATGTGGCTTCGCTGATGTGCAGAGTTGGAGCGCTTGGGGTGAGGGTTCAGGAGTTGGAAAATTCGATAAGGAGCAGCTAAAAAGCAATCCAGAGTTACAGGGCTAGAGCACAGAAAATTTGTGGATGGGCTGAGAAATAAGGAAGTATGTTGTATCTACATGTACATGTACAGGAAAAACTTTACTGTGAGGATGACGGAGCACTGGGACAGGCTGCCCAGAGAGGCTGTGGAGTCTCCACCTCTGTAGATGTTCAAAACCCACCTGGATGCAGTTCTGTGCAACCTGCTGTAGGGAACCTGTTTTAGCAGAGGGGTTGGACTAGGTGACCTCCTGAGGTCCTTTCCAACCCCCACCATTCTGTGATCTCTTTGAGGTGGTTTAGAGGAGGAAGCCATAAGTACTTGATTAGGATGTGACTGAGCAGTGAGGCAGGGGTACCATTCTTCATGGCACAGTAGTTTGTCCTGCGGCAATAATCTGAAATAAACTAAATCTGTATCAGGGAGATGATATGACATGTGGGATTCATTCCTGTATAAACCCACTCTAGTAACTTGTCAAACATCAGAGCACTCAGTCATTGGCACTTCATTATTATCTTCAGAGGTGGGTGCTCTGCTGAACTGCGCTAAACACAGACATCTCTTCTTCACAATAAAATTCCTATTGGCATCAGTATTCATGTTCTAAATGTAAAACCAGATATTTTGTATCCTATCCTAGCGTGTAGTAATAGACTCCAGACTTCACATCTGAGTTCACTAATTCGTACTGTGATCTTGCATTATCTTCACAAATCAGAACATACTGTGGAGAGAGACTGAAAGAGAGGAGGAGAGGCTGACTTCTGCAGTGGAAGATTGTAATGGAGTATTGGAAGACTGAGGCTCAGTACAGCATGGATTATGAAACCCATCTTCCAAAGCAATCTGTCTAAGATAGAACTGGTGCTTAAAGACTTTGCTCACATTTTAAGCACATTTAGAGTAATTAAGTTATAATCCAGAATAATTTAGGCTATCCTACGTTCATTCTAACTGCAGGAGCAGATATATATACTAAGATATTTTTGACAGTTACTGTGTCGGAGACTCATTACTGTCACATGCCTTTCTATGTTTTGCTCTTTGCCTCTGCCTGTGCTTCACCTTAATCAGATTCTGTTTAAGTAGACAGTGATAAGTATTTAGAGATACGATAGCAGGAGAGGCATAGACAGAACATGTTTGGAAGGAATGTTGCAGAGTAATCCAGTAATAGAGAGGCTGTGTTTGTGTTAATTGCCTCAAGTGACACAAATGTGTTGATGGTAGAAAAGATCAAGGTAGTTTTCTTCACAGACAGCAGTGTCTTCAGTACTAAGTAATTACAGTGCCTCAAGGGACAGGCCAGGTTTTTGCTATAGGAGCTCTATATGAGGTTAGGCAGATTTATTTCTGTTGAGATGTAACTAACAATGAAGGGGAAGCCTTCAGATGAGGAACCCTTCAAAGAAATATTAAATGTATTGAGTACTTGTTCAAGGAAGTTGGTTTTTTGATAGTGTTTTTAAATATTGTAGCACACACAGCGTGTTTCATGGAGTATACGTCTGTTTAAGTGGTTCATAGGGAGCGTGATCAACTAGTTGGGTAAGTGGTTGGGTGCTTGGGCTCAGAGGGCATTAGTTAATGGATCATACACTACCTAGGTGATGGTAACAAGTGAGTACCACAGGTACTCTTAGGTCCTTATCTTAGGACCTGTACTTTTAGTCAGTAACCTGGAGGAGGTGACAGAATGGACTCCTGTCAAGTTTTCAGGTGACACAAAACTGGGATTACAGCTTGATATTCTTGAGAGCAGGGCTGCCATTAAGAGGGACCTGGGCAGGCTGGGGGAATGGGCTGACAGGAACCTAATGAAATTCAACAAGGACAACTGCAAAATCCCGTATCTGGGTGGGAATAACCCTGTGGTTATGATACGGGCTGGGCACTGACTGGTTGGGGAGCAGCTCTGCTGAAAGGACTTGGGGATCTTGATGGACAGAAGGCTGCACAGGAGACGGCATTAGGCCCTGACAGCAAGGCAGGTCAACAATGTCCTGGGCTGTATGAAGAGAAACACAGTCAGTAGATTGAGGGAAGTAATTGTCCCCCACTACTCACCGCTTGTTGGACCATATATCTAGATAGGGTCCCCAAATACAGGACAGACGCCAATAAATTGGAGCAAGTCCAACCAAGATGGTCAGGGTCTGGAGCACTTACCCTGTGAAGACAGGCTGAGGGAAGGGGACTTGTTCAGTCAGGAGAAGAGGCAGATTCAGGTGACCTAACAGCAGCCCTCCCAGTGCATCCAAGGAGGTTACCAAGAAGATGGAGCTGGCCTCCTCGCAGTCTTGGGTAGCAAGAGCATGAGAGAAAATGGGCACAAGTTGAAACAAGGGAGATTTAGACTGGTTATAAGGGAAAAAGGTCTTCCCTGTGAGGATGAACAGACAGTGGAGCAGGAGCCTAGTGAGACTGTGCAGGTTCCTTCCTTGGAGCCTTTCAAGACCTGACTGTTAAGAAATAATTCCAAAAGGCAAAATAAGCCCCAAATAAAATCATACATGATACTGAAACTGGGGAGGAGTGGTAGAGTTGGAAACCTGGAATCACACTGCTGCTCCATATGATAGATCATGATAATATTGAAACTGCAGAAGTGAGTGTACTAGGTTACTTGAGTTACAAAGGGAACAATAGGTTAAAAAATTTGTAGAGAAGCTAAATGTTTTTGAAATATTTAGAAGCTAATGCTTTTGTTACCTCACTCCATGTCATGCAGAACTCCAGTGAAATGCACAGCCTGGTAGTAAAGATGAGGCACTGAAATTACAAGTGTCAAAGGAGTGAGTGCTGGAAGAGTGTGATGAACTAAGTAACGAACTGTCACAAGAACCAGCTGTTCTGTCCATCTCTTTTGACTGATTCTCTTCCTTTTACTTTGCCTC